GACTACTCAGCTATATACACAAAAGCACATGAAGTATCTTGTTCCTCCCTTTAAAAAAAAAAAGCTATTCCTGGGCTAGGGATATAGCTTCATGGTGGGAAGCTTACCTAGCATGCACAAGGCTCTGGGTTCAATCCCCAGCAACACACACACACACACACACACACACACCCCTCTACTAGATTATGTGTACTCCTCAGAATATGCTTTCTTAATTAAACCTGAATTCAAGTAATTAAAGTCAAGATTTTGTGAAGTAGGAAGGAAAAAAATCACAGGAAGTTAATTTCAAATGGAAAGTAAAGATAAGGGAACTGACTGAATTCACATAACATCTCTGAACAGATGGGAGGGAGTTGCCCAGGAGTCTGCTACTAGGTATGAACAGCCCTACTGCCTGTAAGAAAGAGTTGGCTATCTTCATTACTTTTTCCTTTTCTTGTCTTTTCACTCCCTGTAACTTCATCTTCCATTTAATGACAATGATTGAAGCATATTTCATATTATGGAAACACTATAATAAAAACAAAAACAAGTTGCAAAAATTAAATGGCCAATGTTTTCTTTCTAAAGAGGAAGAACGTGAACTCCTTGGTCTCTATATGTTAGTATAGATCACATAAAAGTTTTAGTAATGAGGTCTAAAACAGATGGTAAATCTGAATCTAATAAACAAAAGATAGCTAGAGAGCTGAACTCTCATTCTCATCAACACGAGAAGGTTGGTAGCCACTTGGTCTAGGACGATGATGAATTAGATCACCTATCCGAATGGAGGAGATGTGCTGAGACTCCATCCTAAGGATGCTCCCTGCATGCTTCCTTCTAGAAGTTTAGAAATTCCTAAACTCAGTCAGGACAGCCTTAGTTTCTCACCAGCTGTTAGTCATATAAGGGAACAGTCTTGATATTCAATAGCAACTAGTGGGTACATCTGAGTTCATTTATACAAATTTTACATAAAATATTTAAATTTGTTTACTGAGTAACTATAAAAGATATGTTGAGCTGCTTATAATCAAATTCAAGTGGAACTTGATCTAACTATTGATTACAGTCTTTCTTACTTTAAGATCATTGAATATTCCTTTTAATATATGTCAAGGTAGGCAAAATGAATTTTCTACCTTCAATCAAAAATAAGGTACCTCGGAGTTCAAGAGTCCCACATGAATAACTGAAGATAACTGGGCTTTATTGATATACTACTGACCATACGCCTATATACCCCACAGTTAATTTTCCTGTTCCGGATAGCAAAGAACAAACAAACAAAAACAGGCAGAGAGATTATTTGGGCTGTAACCCTGGCACTGCCATTTATCTGATGGTCCACAGGGTTTCAATTTTCTCACCTGCAAAATAAAGACGCCCAAAAGGTGGTCTCTGAACTCTTTCATACCAACCCTTTCAGAGTTCATAGCACCTAATACTGAAAACAGATTTTTGCTGCTAAAAAATGTGCCCGGATTCCCTACTATCTTCTATAGTCCAAACTGAATTCTCCAAAATACATGTTTCCCACATCTGAGCATTACTCTATGAACTCAGTTTGCCTTTACCAACTGAAATCCTACTTACCGTGTTTGTTTTGTTTTTGGCAGCACTGGGGTTTGAACTCAAGGCTCCATGCCTAGGCAGGCAACTCTTACCACTTGAGCCACTTCACCAAGTTCAAAGCTTGCCAGGGGCTAGCTTTGAACCATAATCCTCCTGCTCTCTTGTCCTGAGTAGCTAGATTATAGACTACCTAAAAGCCCAGCCCAGGTTTTCTTTTCTTTTCTTTTCTTTTTCCATTATTGTTGTGCTGGGGGTACATTGTGACATTTACAAAAGTTCTTACAACACATCATAGTTGAATTCACCCCCTCCATCATTCTCCTTTATCCCTCCTCCCCCCATTCCTGGAATAGTTTCGACAGGTCTCATTTTCATACATGTGTGCATAATATTGGCACCATATTCACAGTCCTACACCCTACCCCCACATTCTCCCCCTCCCATTGGCATCAGCCCCCCTCCCCTAGGGAGGACCTGTTCTGCCCTCCTGATCTCCAAATTTGTAAAAAAACAAAATGATGGCACAAATCCAAATCTATACATTGTTATGTGGCACCAGAGCACAATCCTCATAGGAGCAGAAGCAATGACACAGGCAGTCGGGAGTGAATTTCTCAACCTACCCTTACTTCTCATTTGGAGGCTTCAAATTATAAATGGGAAGCCAACAAAATGAAATAAGATCTTATTTCTAAGGTTAATTTGGGCCAAGCTCAACATAACATTATAAAAATAAAGAACTATATTTAAAGTTGCAGGTTGTCCAAAACCTTAATTCATTTTCACATCAACATTTAGTGAACTGGCTAGCTTTAAAAAATTAGTTGTTAAAAGATGAGAAACCATCAAGTCACTAAGAAGGGGACTATAAAATACTATGAGTTATACTACTGCTGCAGCAATAATTTGAATTTAATTTAAAATATTTTGTAATGTAAGTTTACCAGATGGAATTAAAATCTGAACAAATTGATAAACATTGGAGTATGTGTCAACAGTTATTTCAATTACACATTACAAAAGGTTAATTTCACAATTTAAAACTTTTAAAGAAACTAGTACATCCTGTCTTATCACTTCTACAACACAAATATAAAGCCAGACGCAAATAAGAGTTATGTAATAAGTTTTGCCATCTACCCGTCCAGGAAGAGGAGGGGCGGGGAACCCAGGAACACTGAGCAATGCCTGTGGGTGCTGTGAGAGTCTGTGATGTCCTTAAGGGGCTTTAACAAGGTCCTGAGAACATAGGCAGGATCACACTCCTGCCCTGATCAGCACTCAGCCCCTGAACTCAGCCAGCCTATCATGAGATCACAGGGGACAGCCACCCCACTCTCAGGAGGTCCCTGTTAAAACACTTCCATAAAGAAATGTCACTGCATGACTACCTAGAAATCGTGAAACATCTAAGGGGGTAAATCGTGTTAGATCTGGATCAATGAAGTAAGTCTGTGATTTTATTTGTGGTTTAAGGTTAAGAACCATTTATAAATATCAGCTACTGCTTTGGACTTCTCATAAAACTGGGTAGTCTGGCTCACAGCATAGAAAAGCACTTCAAACTTCTCCAATTTTACCCCTTTCTCCTACCTTTCCAAATCCTCTCCCCCAAAGGAATTCCAGCACAGGCTTCTTGTGTCAATTCTGTATTCCCCTTTACTTTATGGTGGACTGAGTGGCTCTCCAAAGATTGGGGCCATCTGCACTGGTCTTTGTAGCCCCTCTGGCACCAGCACAGCGAGTCCCTCAAGGGTTATTAGATAAACTTGACCTTCCTACTGGCCTTCCTACTTCCCACAGGGTGGATGCCCCCTCTCTAGTTTGTTTACAGTGTCCAGTGTTCATTCCCTTGTATCTCTTATGTTTTCTGGTACTCTATGCTGAAATGGCAGGGAAGGATGAGCATTACTACAGTATGTGGCTACTTGACAGGATCCTTTTTAAAAGTAATGAGCTGGTAAGTTGCTTAAACACTGCATTCTCTTAGCCTGTACTTCTAGACATATTCATGAAGAAGCATTTCCCAAAATGTGTTCTTTAGAACTTTGGATTTTGGAAATAGTAGCCCACTGGTCAAGTCAACATGTGAAACAGGAATTACTATACCTAGCATATTCTCAGGACCCACTGTACCAGCAAATAAGAGGCCCCTCAAAATCTTGTAGTAACTACATCTGATCAGTTTTATTCAGACCAGTATTTCCCCAAATTATTTTATCACAGAACTCTGTCCCCATGTGATATTTACTAATGTCCTAAGAAACCAAGGTTCCTCATAACACAGCATGGAAAGTGCTGGAGTGAAGTGCTTTTATTTCCCTTAAATTTTATAAACCCCTCTAAATTGCAGCTTTCAGACTAATTCACAGAATAGTCAAAATGTTTCTGTTAAGATCTGAGTAAGGCAGTATATGCCTGTAATCCCAGCACTTAGAAGTCTGAGGCAGGAGGATCTTAAGTTTAGGCCAGTCTGGGCAACACAGTGAGACCCTGTCTCAAAATAAATAAATAGACAAAGTTTCTGGGAAGATGCATGATGCCAGTCCTGTTTTGTCCTTGTGCATGGCAAACTGCATCAGAGAAAGCCTCATGTTCCGTGGCCTTAACAGTTTGTGCTTTCAGTGTGGAGGAAGTGGTGGGTGAGTACTATCAAGTGCCTCTAGTATGCTCGAGGGTAAAGGATGGCAGCCTTGCCCGCGTGGGAGGAAGTGTCCAGTACCACCGTTAGTCCTGCCAGCCTGGAGAGTCACCACAGTACATATAGCAAGCTGCAACTACATCTGGAGCTTGAAATGGGTGCTGTTCACCCAATAAATTCTTAAAGAGTTATGATAAATCACAAAGTACAATGAGAGCAGGATATGATTAAGAAAATGCAAGATAAATCTATGTGCAAAAATGTAATATTCTAAGTATCCTGAGGACACCTCATTAACATTAAGCTGATTACAAATATAGGTGTCTCAGAGCAGTTGACATGAGGAAGGAAATCATCGCACAGTAGAAAGTCATGTGATGGAAGCACCTGCCCCAGACGGCATTTCAAATTTATTTTTTAAAAACATTAAATTTCTCACCTTTACTGGGTTGAGAAATGAAAATAAATCATTGACTGGTTCCAAGAGGAGACAAAAATTCTTTACTACATATGAGTGGGAAATAGAGCATTTCTTAGAAATCAATTCAGACATAGCTCTTGAGAAGCTGACTAATGTTTAATCCAACTGAGGCAAGTGTCTCTGAATCTGCTTTCTAAGACAAAAATAAAACACTTAACTCCTTTAAAGATGGAAAGACCAGGGGAGCTATTTTCCAACATGAGTAAATGAAGCATGGACTAGGAAAGCACACTTCAGCTAGAGCTCCTAAGTATGTCTGCCGTGTTATCTTAAGGCAACTCTCTCATCAGGCTACATGAAAGGACAAAAGCAACTCACCATGTCGTAAGTTGTGACGATCTTCTTCAGAACCTCCGGCACGATTCCCTGCAGCTCCATTGTGGGGTAGGACTCACTGAGATTGAGAACCACCAGGGGTGTGTTATCAGGACCCAGGAAGCGGGGAGACACTGCCAGCATGCACTGCATGAGATTGGCTACTGAGGAGAGGCCGCACAGCTCCTTGAATGACACCACTGCATTCTGTCAAACGGAAGGAAAGAGGCTCTTGGTAATTAAGCAAGGGCTTTAATTCCTCATAGATATTAAACTTAATGCACCTGGTTATAATGACACCGTCTGGTATAACAAAAGTTACTGGCAATGTTATGACAGTATTGGCAAATGATTATTTTATGCATGGAAAAATTACTGCTTTCCAAAGTAAATATAGTTATAGACATCTGTAACACCAATGTACCAATGATATGAAAATATAAATAAGTCAAATTCTTCTAAAGGGCAAAGCTTTTTCAGGTCAAAGTTCACAGTAGTGCCAATGCTGATACATAATTTTGAGCAGCAGAAATAATAGCTTCTGCATTCAAAAAAGATAAAGAAAAAATAAAATCAAGTTTAAAATAAGTGTCAAGTACACTAGCTATCCAAAAAGGAAAGGGTTATTTGTGAGAGTGAAACCGGACTCTCTCTCCCCTGTTTATGTTGCTGGTTCCAAACCTAAAGGACTTTTGAGGACACTGCTGTTGACTTGTGAGTGCCCAAGGCGCCCTGGCCTTCCAGAGGAGCGGATCATCTGTCTACACTGACCTCAAAGCCTCTCTCTCCTTTCTCCCTCTCTCCCCCATTTCTTTCTCTCTCTTTGTCTATTCTAATCACTAGAGGTATGCAATTAAAATGTCCATTAAAGGAAACTCTCAACACTATGAGTACCACAAGTTGGCATTTTTTGAGTACTTGCCAAGTGCTCAGCTGTACCAGGCAGAATTATTTCGCATTACCTTGTTTAATCATCCTAACAAGCCATGTGATGGATGAGGAAGCCGAGCCCTAGCTACCATCTCTCTCAAATCACAGTAGTAAGTGAAAGAGTCAAGATTTTACCTGAAATCTGTTGATGTTGAGTCCCATGCCTTCAATCACTATGCTGTAAGAGTAGGTCAATTCTAATCACAGTACAAGTCAGGCATGGAATGGATTCCAGTCTCACCTGCAACCTATCTGGGCAAAATATGCAGCCAAACTGGGCAAATTTAGGCCCTGAAAGCCTTGTGCCTTGTCTCCCAAGTGCCCTGGGTTCTTGGAAATAAGCAACACTTTAGTTTTAAATGTAAACATTTCATTTTTATTAGTATTGTTTTAAACATGGCCATCAAACTATTAGTTTGTACAAAATCACTTTGATGTTGACTGTATATGGAAATTATTATTTTGATATCTAAAGCAGGGTCCCCCAGCACTCTATCACACCCATTTGATTTTCTTCACAATATTTACCTGCACTTGCAGTTGTCCTATTTGTTTATTTGCCCATGTACAGTTTATTTCCTCTTGCCATGGCCCATCCCCAACTATAGGCACAAGCCCTAGAGGGCAGGCGGCCTGTCTGATTGTTCCCTACAGCATCCCCACAGCCAGCCTGCCTACACATGGCAGGTGCTCACTGAACATCATCACCAACTACTCTGTGGATTCAGAGCACATACAGGCTCTGGAAAAGATGATGCTTGAGCTCTGGCAAGTCCCCAAGGGAATTATGTGCCACATGTATACCAGAAGCCACCAGGCAGGGGACAATGTGGCTTCCTATAAGCTGAGGGTTTACCCAACTACTTGCATCCTCAGAAATGGGGAAAACCTTCAATTTTTAGTTATGCTTTTACTTTGAGAGAAAGAAAATAAATGTCCTGATTGCAGGAAGGTGTTTTTTATTCATAAGGTATCTACAGAATTGGTGGACTGGAAAAACATGCTGAAAGTAGGTTTTCTACTGCTGGTGGCATTTTCAAAATAGTGATTTAAAAATAAACAAACAAATAAACCCCCAGAGCATCTACCCCACACAAAGCACTTCTCACACCCTGACAGGTTGGGATCAGTACCTCCTAGAGACACGCCGTGGCTGCCTCATTCTGCATCACTCACAGGTCAGTATATGATTAGATGTGTGGACCATCCTTCACAAATACACAATTCCTAACTGGTTTCTCTAAGCCATTATATATTTCAGAGGTAATTATTATCTTAGACTTTAATAAATACAGATACCACGTATCTTTTGCTTAACAATCAGCTATATTCTAAAATCAAGAGAAGGGTCAATAAGCGAACATGTTGGCTTATTTATGGGCCTACTTAGCATCCCAGCACCACTGCTCCATAAGGAAGGTCTGGGACTGGTGGTGTGGCTCAAGAGGTAGAGTGCTTGAAAGCAAACACAAAGCCCTGAGTTCAAACCCAAGTCCCACCAAAAAGAAAACAAAAGGTCTGGAACATGTCACTTTTACTTTACCATACATCCCTTTTGATAAATCATTAATTTGTGTTCCAGTCAATGTGTATTCATAACTATCAGAGATTTCCAGGTACACTATCAAAAAAAAAATGGGGACCTATTAATTAGTGATAAAAGGAATTGGGATGAGCACAATGTAAGACAGCAACAAGATTGGCTTATTCTACTATGAAATCAATATTTTCAACAACTGCAGTTTTGGCAAATTAAATGATAATGAGACTAGTGATAAACATTCTAATAATCAACTTCAATTTACAAATTATTTTAAATTAAATACACAATTGTAAAAAAGAATATAGTCATAAACTGTGGACATGCACTACATAGGAAAATTGTTGAGTAAGAACCTGAATTTAAGCACGCACCTGCATATTCTCTCTAAGATCCGTGGCATCCCGTATGGGGGGCTGGGCATTCTTGAACACCTCATCTACAGTTTTAATCCACAATGTTCTCAGAGATGCATATTCCCTGGATTTCTTCCCTTTTCGCACAGAAAGGCCCCTTTTATGAGGCTTTCCTCCTCCTCTTCGGTTAGTGATTGCCACATGGACGAACAAAGAAGCATGTGCAAGAACCTCTCCGGTCAAGGATTGCAGGGGGACGTGGCGGTAGCCTGTCTGTAAACATTCGAAGGGAATTGTGTACTGACCAATAAATTCATCCCCAATGTAGTCATCATCCAGCACTACAAAGCGCACCATAGCCAGTTCAGGGAGGTTGATCTGAAACTCAAAGCTTTCATCAAAAATGGGAGCATCTCCATTCTGGTGCACTGTTTTTGTCCTTTGCTCTGCGCAGTCAGCAGGGATTCCGTGGATTTCTACATAGACGTAAGGATCCACCACATCACCTTTGGCACCTGAACCTTTGGGCTTGGGAAAGTTCTGGCCACTGATGATTTTGATGTGAAGGAGCTGAGGTGAAACTCCTGGGACAGAGTCCTTTGTATTGGCACTGAAGAAGGACACTTCTTCCCTCATGATAGCTGGACGAAGGACATAGCCACAGTTTCCATTCTGCCGAAACCAGCCAATATTCAGGTCCATCATCAGTCCTGGTGTCTGAAAGTTCATGGCTACAATTTGACAACCACATTTCCAAAAATCTTGAGGATTCATGTTACTAGAGTCGATCCTCATTGGACTAGGGAAGACCCTGGCAAGAAAACGCTTGTTATAATTTACAAAGTCCCCTGGATTTTCATTGGCATATTTGCTGGCAAGCACTTCATTAAAGGAACAGACTTCCCAGTACTTCTGAACCTGAAATGATACCTGAAATTCTTTGAACTGAACTGACTTACAGATGCTGACCAGTTCAGACAATTCTTTGCAAAGCTGAAATCGCTTCGCAGGCATATTGTTGGGTTGTTCCATGTTCTCTTTTCCCATCCTCTGAGACATTTCTGCTCCTTCATCTTCATCAGTAACATCTCCTTCTACTCCAGGGCAATTTGAAGATAGCTTCTTTGCTTTAATGAGTATTTTCCCTTTCAGGACATCTGGGGACGGTAGATAAGATTCCTCCACATTAGGTGATGTTGTATATAGCTTATCTCCTAAAATTTTCTTCATGTGTTGAACCATTACCTTCTGTTGTCTAATAGAACAGTGATTTTCTAAACACAAGATAAGAGGATACTCTGAAGCAAAGAATGCATACTTGTTAATAATATCAATGACACTGCGGAAAACAATCTGAGAGGTCATGGTGTGGCCTGTGTAAATGACAGGTTCGTTATCTGGCCCATCCCATACATCTAATTCAACACTCCGGCAACCCATTTTCAGAGCTCTTATGTACCCTGTGATGTCAGAGGGGCCTCGGAACTGATCTTCTATTAAGTATGTATTATGAGATGAGTTTATAAAGTAATGAGAAAGGGGTTGCTTCATATCCTGACAGACTTTCTTATGTTCTGGATCAAATATATAACAGTCAGGTGACATAAGATAATTAGTGAACCCGTCTATGGAGAGCCAGCCCTTTTCCTGGCCCTCTTTAGATGGCTCATATTTATGAATAATTTCAAGGCTTATTTCCTCATTGATATGTGCCACACCCTGTTCTGCCTCAAGAAACATCATAAGATCCTTGGTATCAAGGAATTCTTTATTGCTTGAAAACTGAACTAAAAGGAAGTAAATTTCAGGTCTGGTACAAAGCTCATGGAAAACCTCAATAAATTCTTCCTTTGTGACTTCAGTGCCAGCTTTGTCCTTTGATTTGTGCAATTCTTTGAACTTAAGCTCAATTTTGCTTGTTTTTAAACCAGGATTGAGGTTTCTGATACACTGTACAGCATTACACAGAGTTATATGTCCAAGGTTATCTACATCAATTTCACTAAACATTTGCGAAACCCAAGAAGTCCTCATGTTGTCTTGGCTACTTTCTAACATATCGAGTGTATGCTTTCCATAAGAAATTAGGTACCGGAGTCCCGTAACCCAGATGTTTGCAACATCTGCAGAGTTGGCAACCAAATCAAGTGACTCATAATTCTCTCCATATATGACTGAAAATGCACAGTCTTCAGATATCTGGTCAGAAATGCCATTGCTGCGGAATATGTCTGTGTTTTTTCCTGTTCTCACTTCCTTGATGGATTTAATATCAATCTTGGCTTTCTCAGAATCCTTCTTAGATGGCTCCCACCTCAAGCTCTGCATGTCGGCATCCAGCAAAAAGTATCTGTGGTAAATTCTAGAGTTGGAGCGAACTTTTTTGAGTTCTGATCCCTCCACCATTGAGTTGATACAATCACTTGCACTGCTGATCTTCTTCTCTGTTGGCATGCTGCTGAATGACACTGTTTTCTTCCGTTCCCTTTTCTGTTTTGTGCCATCCTGAGGAAAAAAAAAAAACAAAAACCCAGTGTATTAGAATACCATAAACATAGGTCTCTATGTTCAGGAATAGGAATTAAGACTTAATTTCCCTGAAAAAATTGTACTATGAGTATTTCCTATTCTGGGTCCTATGATGAATGATAGTCACTCATCTCTAAAGATCAGAAGAGGCCTTGGAGTTTACAGCCTAATACCAAATCATTACTGAATAACTGCAATTCATGTTTGTCAAGGGACATAATTTCAGCAGCATACAATAAAATCTACTGATATACATCAGCTACATAATTTTCTGGGCCAGGAGAAAATGAAAATGCAGGATTCCTTGCTCAACAATTATTAAGAATTTCAAGAGGGAAACAGAAAAGTATTATGATAAGCACAGGACCCTTGTGAGTGTGGGGTTTGTGCAACTGCACAGAACACACACCCATGAAGCAAGTATTGGGTATGTATACACATCTCCTACATCAGCATTTCCTAAAGGCCTGCTGTCACCAAACCACTTACCTTAGAATCACCTGGGCAATCTGGTAAAAATATAGATTTCTAGGTCCATGGAATCAGATCTATAGGGATTATGGTCAGAAAACTGCATTCTAGGCAGAACCCCCATGCTATGGGGATGTGGAATAAAGTCTTTAAAACATTCTGTGGCCACTTAGGTTCACTACGATGTTTAGGCTATTTTTGTACTATATAACAAATGAGCAGAAACCACTACATATGAACCATTAAAGTGCATATTAAATAGGTAGACACTGGAATTCTAACAGAAATTTTTGACTCTTCAGAATTTCACAATAGACTAGTCATGGTCCTAAATACTTCAGGTAGATATGGTTTACTGCTGCAGTTGCATAGGTCTGAGAGGGAGGCCTAGACTATAGCTGGAGGTGCTTCTAGAATTCTAGAGCTGAATTTATTAAAATCTATTTCTGTGTACCAGACTAAGTCTTCCTCAAACAATGTTGCCTAATAACTTCCAATATACATATGGATTATTAAAACTAGCCAAGTGAAAAGTTTCAGGTAGTACCTATTTCAAAAGGAGTTTGCATCACCAATAATTTACTTCTGAACTTTCCTACACAATGCAATGTGTTCTCACCTTAAGAGCTGACATCCACAGCTATGTGTGTGTATGTGAGACTTTCTCTGTACGTACCTTTATTTGAATAAGCAAACAAGCAAACTCAAGTGACCTCAAAACATCTTCCACAATTTTCACTTAAAACACAACACTGCCTTTCAGGAGGTGTATGAAATCTGTGATAAAATTTCAGTAAGTTATTGCATTCATAAATAAGGCATAAGAATGGGGGGTTGGAATTATGTAACTTTTGTGGCAATAAAGAAAAGAGCATACAAAGGCAATTCAGATTTTCCTGCTCTATACAGAATCTATTTTGAATTAAATCTTCTCTATATTTTAAAAAGCTAGTATGCTATTCTATGTCTGAAATTTAAAACCATTTTTACTTTTTGATTAGTTATACTTCCAAAAGCAATTTACAGAAAGTAATTAAACTTAAACTTTAAATCATGCAGGTATCATTTCCCTCAAAGTTTCAAAATGAACCATGTAGAGGCTTTTGTGATCTGAGAGCCAAGATAAAACATAAAAGCCACCAGGCAGAGTATTTCTTTATAACTATATACTCAGAACAATAAAGTGAAAAAGAGGTAAAAAGTGTGTTAATTGTATCTATATGATATAGTGTATTCTTGCTATTCCAAATCCCTAAAGCATAGATTGTATTCTATCTATTCAAGTGAGTTGGCATGAAATGAAATTTGTAATCAGTCATGCATAAGGGCATGAAACAAATTTTTCAGAATGAAGGATGTCTTTACTTCTACAAAGACAGGTTTACCTTCTAAAGGCAATGTACTAACTCAGTAAGGGAATTTTATAATCTTTATAAATTGTATTGCAAAGTGCCACTAGTAAAAGAAGTCACAAAGATAAATGGAGGTGTTTATCCATTGATCTATTAAAAATACATAGTACTTTCTTGGCATTGTACTCTTTTATCCTGTCATTTTTACATATTGATTAATATTCTACTGCCACTTTCTAATTTGTTACAAATGATACATTTCAAATCCATAGTTTTCTTTATTATTGAGAGAAAAGACTACATTGTAAACTGGTTAACAGCATACACACAACATACAACAATATATATACACACATACACTCACACCCCCATATTTGTTACACAGGCAACAGCTTAAACAAACACCATTCTGTGTCTTTAAAAACATTGCCTTTCCTTTTTATAACCCAACCTAGACTCTGATTGGAGACTGGGCATCGACTATAGATACATGCACATGATGGCCACCCAAGCACAGGCTGGTGTCATGACAACAAGTATGCCCTTGTCTCTTCTTCCCTCTTGCCTAGGACCATCCTATAGCACATCAAGGCCTGAATTAAAAGATCCATTTCTCCTTCCCCACTAGCAGATGAAGCTATTAGAAAACACCAACAGAAGAGTGTGCTTGCTTAGAGACTGTTATGATTTGAATCTTAAATGTTCCCTCATAGCTCAGATGTTGAGCCTGCTCCTCAGTGCAGAAATGTTCAGAGTAAAGCCTTTGGAAGGTGATTTGATCATGAGGGCTCTGGCCTCATCAATGAATGAATCCATAAACGGGATAATTGGAGGTGATGGAAACTTTATGAGATGGAGTGCAGATAGAGAAGTAGGTCATTGGAAGTGTGCCCTTGAACAGTTTATCTTGTCTCTGGCCCCTTTCCTATTCTCTCCTTCCCTCCCTCCCTCCCTCTCTCCTATTTTGCTTCCTGGAGGAGGTGCTCTACCATGTGCTCCCTGCTATGATGTTCAGCCTCACCACAAGTCCTGAAATAATGAAGCCAAGTACTATAAACTGAAACCTCTGAAGTCACTAGCCAAAAATAAATCTTTCTTCCTTTTGAGTTGTTTTTCTCAGGTATTTAGGCATAGTGACAGAAAGCAGACCAACAAGGAGAGCAAGTGTGAGCTTGCATTCCTATCAATGGATGGTGCAGAATTGCTCGCTGCGACCAACAGGTGAATGTCATGACAAGAAAAGCAGACAATCTGATTCCCCATGGCCAAGAGAAAAGGAAGGGGAGGAAAGAAGCACTTGAGTGGGAAGGAAGCAGAATTAGGGTTCCATATATAAGACTGGGTCCCAACGCACCTAACTCCTGGAATCTTTATCCTACTGTGCTCATTTCAACTTGGCTTTCATTCTTCAGTGCAGGAGTGATGGAGCACTTGCCTAAGCAAAGCAGCTGGTCGGTAGGAGAGTTGGCATCTACTTTCTATGCTACTTCTAATGTAAGTTAGTTTAAATTGAATGCTGAAAAGTACTCAAGCTGTATGTGTTACATATATAGTTTCTTAACTAAAAAAGAAAACTAAATGGATCTAATGGACATGAATTAGTTGGCTAAGGCTCAAGGAAAACAAAAAGGGTCTCTGCTGAATTCAAGGTACCTGAAAATACTTTAAAAATAGTATAAGTAACTTCTCAGAGCTGGCTGTTATAAGTACTTATCACCTAAAGTGCAATGGTGAATATGACAACATGAAAGCATGGGTCTACCAGTGTGTTTCTGCTACTCCACTGGTACTAATTAACACTAAGAAAGAACATGCAAAAAAGGTCCAGACTGTAGGAAAAACAGTCTCCAAAAGAATCTACTCTGAATCAACCTCAAAATTGTGTACTTCTTGGTAAACAAGCACAAAATTTAGAACTGGAAAAAAAACTTAAAGATTCATTTATACATTAACTAATACTTATTTACATAATGATAATTTTATGACAAGAATTATTTCAGGTAAAGCAATGAACTAGAAAAGAGGCTAAGGAAACTTTTCTGTGCCACAGCAAATTCAGGAAGAACAAAAATATTTATAGAACTCATACTTAGCACTGTGTACTTCAGAAAAACATGTATGTCTAAAAAAACTGCCTACTTTATTTAATAGAAGGTTGTCACTAAAAATAGAAGGCTATCTGTGATATTTAAGTAGTAGCAATTTCATAAATGGGTATGGGAAATTTCATAAAAACCTGAAATGAGGTAACAAATGGATGGGCCTCATTTCTTCCATGGGGAAGAACAAAGTGGTTGGCACTAAACCGTTTGATCTCACTTATTCAGGAGGAGATGGACCTGTGGGGTTGGAGTCTTGTCTAAGGACACACAGATAATTATGCCTTGCTGGAAGAAGATTACCTCCTGCTTCCTATTGTATTTCTCCTAGATTTCAAAACCAATTTGTTTCCATTTTCTGTTTGATTATTCTTCAATAAACACCACGAGAAAACGATGCAACAATATCCAGATTCAATACCTGGGCAAAATAAGTGCAGGCAGTGATTCAGGTGTGCAGGTGGGGACAGGAATCTAGCATGGAAACAAAGCAGCTCTTTATCTCCCTGGCTAATTCTGAGTGAAGTGGTTTCATTTGAAATACAAATAATACTAAAGAAAGGTATGTGGGCTGTATGTTTATCAAGGAGGAGGGGTCTAGAATTAAAAAGAGTGGAGAAACACTGCAAAAAAAAAAGAAATTTTTGTCTTTTACAAAACAAAAGAAAAAACTTGAAGTCCATTAAACCAGCACAGCAAAGGCTGACCTTTCTTCAGCTCAACAGCAATAACTCTGAAGTGAAAGAATTAGTCATGCCAGGCACATCAGGGTTACCTTGCAAGGATTTTCACACATCTTTAAAACTCTGATGTGCTCTCCAAGATGAACAAAAAGATAAAAAATAAAGAAAGAAAAAGAAAAAGGGTCTGAAGCAAAATGGTCTCTCTGAAGGTCATTTTATAAAGTAAGATGAATTGAAGAAGGATAAACCAACTTGAAGAAATCTGGATATGGTCAAATGGTGATTCTGGTTCATGTGGCTAGGCCCTTTACTACAACTAATAGGAGCTACTTGTCCCACAGATGCCTCTCCTCAGCCAGTCTTCCTT